ATAGAATCAAAAATAATACTCTATAATTTTATAATAGAAATAGTTATGAATAATTTATAGGCCTAAATACTCAAAAAAATAAAAATAAAAAGATTGTTCAATAATAAAATTTCTTCATATCAACATTTGAGAATCAATCTCTTATTTAGTGTTTATAAAGATTTATTCTTTAATTGTACTTGAATTTGAAAAAAGACATACAAGAATTTATTAAATAATATTTATTTATAATCTTATCAAAAGAAGAAAAAATAAATAAAATAAACAAAAATCTATAATTTTTTCTAATGGTATAGTCTATTATATCCTAATAATGACTGTTATAATAAGTCTTAGCAAAATCTTAATCTAAAAGAAAAAATATTTAATTTAAAATATTTTTTTTTAAAAAATTAAAATTAAATTATTAATTTAAAAAAAAAAAAAAAAAAAAAAAAAACCATTAGTGCAATACTACTCATATTGAAAATAATAAAAGAGACTGTACTTATTTTAATCACAAGTATTTACCAGCAATTATGTTGTATTTTATTATAAAAATATAATAAGTTTTAAATACACAACATCTACTATAATAACAAAAAAATTAACTAAGATAAATAAATTACTTTTTTATTAGATAAAATATATTATCAAAAAATATAATTATGGATAGTGCAAAAATAGAACTAAGTAAAAATAAAAACCAATTACAAAGTTCTTATCAACTTATTATTATTTCAAAACAACAACCAAGAAATTGTTAGAGACCATGTTGCATCTTAAGATACAAAATAATATTAACTTGGTACAAATATACGAATGACTTACATCCACTTACATAAGAAAAATTAAAAATAAGAGTTGAGTACTTACTACTACTTTTTTAGTCACACTATTGTTGCAGATATTGTAAAGAAACTTATTACCACTAATAATGCAAACATTATAATGCTACAAATAGAAATATCTTATATAACCAAAATAATAAAATATAACACTAAAAATTATAAAAGAGAAATTATAAAAGATAAAGATATAAAAATTATATCTAAAACTGTAAACCATAGAAATTAGAAAATACATAAAATCTATTTTCAAAATATAAAACTTAAAAATAACTTTGGAATACATAATAATTGTATCATACTAATAATTTAAGTATAAAAAAAACTTACTTATATTCTATCTTTATAAAATTATATTATTATAGCATCTGTTCTATTATTGTACAACAAAAATGTCACTACCTCATTAGAATAAACTATAACAACAAATTCAATATCAAGATCTAATCTACTCTTATATGAATCTAGGACTACCTTAACAAAGATTTAATTCTTTGGATCAATAGAAACCAACACATTTCATCTTATGATAATTATAAAACAACAATTGGGCAATAATCCTTAAAAATTAGGAGCATAAGAAGAGTAGCATATTATGAGGTTAGAAGGATATAATTTTTTTATATATTAGCTTTATATAGATAAAAGATAGAGGTTTAATAACATGATTAGAAAAATAAATTATTACATTTTCCTTACAATAGTTACAAAACAAAACTAAAGCTTTAGCAAAATACAAGGCTCTTGATTTTAATAGAATTACCATTAAATTTTTAAAATCTTTTAAAACTTTATCAAGAATGACTATCTTTAATTTTTTATTAAATATTTTAAAGAAATTAATATCTATAAATAATTTTATATAGTCTTATTAATTTTATTTTATATTTAAAAATAATACAATATTAAAAAAAAATTATATTAATTAATACTATATTTATTAAAAAAATAACTAAGAATCTATAAAATTAATAATAATAATAATTCATTGACTGATTTTGAATATTTATTTTTTTATAATACACTTTTAATAGTGTGATATCAATTTATAAGGCTTTTTATAAAAAATCTTTAAAATAAAGTCTTTTATTTTTTAAGTTAAATTTATTAATGCATATGACAATAATTTTTTGTACTTCATTATAATGTCATTAAAAATCAAAAATATATATAAATATTTTAAATATTCTTCATAATAATTCATACATATTGAAATAAGATTAATACCACCTTTAATCTTATCAATAATTTTCTGTATTCTAGTTTCTATTGAATACTTTTTAATTTTTTATTCTTAGCAATAGCTATTCTTTTTTAATCTTATTTTATAATATATTCCTTTTGGTCATCTTTCTTACTTTTGATTTAAAATTAAGTATCTTTTTTTTAATTAATTTTTTGAAATATAAATCTTTAATAAGAAGGTTTTTGAATTTGGTCTTTAATTCTTATAAATAAATAAAAGAAAAGAAAAGAAGTTCATGCAAACATCAATAGATTTCTTTTTCTATATTTTTTTCTTTTAAATTAAGTAAAACAAAGATATCCAATAATTACTTGTATTTAATTTTTTATTTTAGTAAAAATACTAAGCTTCAATCTGAAACAAATATTTTAACATATATTTAGAAAAAGACTTTCATTATCTAAGAATGTAAAACAACTTAAAATCAATCAATACATATGTGAGGGTAATTTTTTCTTTCAATCCAAATTACAAGATGGCCGCAATTAAGAGTTGCTTGTAATTGGTGGTGTAAAGTGGAAGATGCAATAAACAAGAACAAAAGAAAGAACAATACCAAATAAGTGAAATAAGTGCAATCAAACAATTGCATAAAATAAAAGTAGTCCACAATTTGTTCATTGAGTTTCATCCAGTAAAAAATTAAATAAAATATTAAAAAATATATTTTTAATAGGTAATTTTATTATCTTTTTAATGACATAAAAAACATATAAATCCGAATTACTATGAGTAAATCATGAAAATTTGAAGATAAGAAGTGAATAATTGAAAAAGTTAAGTGAAAATAATTTACTTCAAAGATAACTTGCTTATAAATCAAGGGTTTGAGCTTTACCAAGGCTCACACATGGTATATATGGGTTGTTAAGAGAGGCCTCAAGGCCTTAGTCTTATCTTCCTACCTACATCCAAGGTGCTACAATCCATATGGAACTTATGCACCTTCCTTCCTACAAGAATTAGACTAACTGTTGGTCCTCTTATTTTTTTTTATAAGGCTATATTTTTCTACCTTGGTGATTTTTTATAGTAATAAAATCAATTTAAATCCACGAAAAATCCTATTTTTTATATAATTAATTAGAAAGACATGAATTTTTTTTCATGCTTCTTTTAACTACTAATTAATCATTGATAGGATTTTTATAAGTAATTTATGTAGATAGGAGGCCAATAAAGAAATTGGTCTTAATAACTAATCTTTAATACTTAATAATAAATAAAAACACTAAACCAAATAAGATAATTATCTTTAAGACTTACTAAGATTCTTTTTTTTATAATATTTTTGTTAATAAGACTTTTGTAACTTATAAATACTTTTAAATTCTAATAAATACTTAAATAGCCAAAAGACTCTTTAGCCTTATTATCTATATAATAAAATGACTAAAAACTATATTTTTAACCAATTCATCAATTAAAATGCATTGGCAGGATTGACAATATATATATATCTATGATTTATTCAAAAGGTTCAAATTAGAAAATTGATATAGTCTTTAAAGCTATCAAAAATACTAATGTCACATGATGTGGCATAGGATGCCATATCTTATTCAATGTATGTAGTTTAATTTGACTTAGTAGTTTTTCATCTATTAAGATTTTTCCATTAGTTGACTTTATTAGTATTAGCTAATGTTTGAATACTTAAGTAGAAAAAAACCCTTGACTTTACATTCTTGCTAAGTCAAATCTAATAAGTGTTTTTGAGAGAGAGAAGGAATTTGTTGTAAGGATTTGCTTGGCTATGGTGGTTTAACCATTGTAATAAAGCTTTAGAGTTTTCTCTATTCTTCACACTTGTATTCTTAAATTCTCCCTTTATAGTGTGAGAAGTAGCATGACTTATTTGTGTGTAGATTTATAATGTGTCCTTGAGAGTATCTTGGTTGTGCATTTATATTTGATTTAAATTATGTACTTTGTGACTAGTTTGTATCACTCGATTTGTTGTGTGTAACAATCTTTGTTACACACACCAAGATTCAAAATACACACTAGTATTTTGAATGTCTTTTTTCACATTTATACGAATTAGCAAAAATTAACAATGTTATGGTGTTTTCATAACCCTAAATCTCCACATATTAGTAAAGACTCATAGAACATGACAAACAAGAGTGATTTAAGTTTTTTTTTGGAATTATTTAAAATTGGATTTTACTTTTCTAACAATAGTCAATTTTTACAAAAGACACAAAAGAAATTTAAATGTACATGTTTTATTTAATTTATCTTATTGGATAAATAGTGATATTAAATTGTATCAAATTTGTTTCAATTTCATTTAATTTTTATTATTATTGTTAAATGGGTTGCCTTAAACCATAGAAATATTTTTCTAAATTATATTTTTTTAAGTGGGAAAAAAAAAAACACAAAACACAAAACCACAAAACAAAAAAAGACAAAAAAGTTAGGGTTCTTGACATATAACAACCCAGGTCCAGGATGTAGTGTTTGCTAGGTGTGCTCTCGGTAATTGTCACAGGGGTTTTTGATCTTCTTTTACTCGTCCACTGAAAAGGTTTGGTATGCTTGGCTCAATCCACCTCTCTTTCATTCTGACCATCTCTTCATCTTGACTGGCTCAGCTTTTTGGCTCACCATCATAAAAGCCGTAGTTTTGGTGGCCACACCAAAGTGTGTCGGGCGGAACAATCTGTGCCCCAGTAATGAAATGCACATGAAGGCTCGTCACCGAAACTGACCCAATTCAATCTCGTCACTGCCAACGATTTTTAATAATTCATCAGAGGACACTTACCTCTACACTCATATAGAATCTCGAATTTTTGTAGTGGAAAAGACTGGCAAAGCCCTGAAAAAATTACCACAAAACGAGCTTGGAAACTGGTGAAAGGTGCCAGTCGGACGGCAGATGTGGGAGATGCTTCCACCAGAGCGCAACATGCGATGAGTTATTTCACCCGCTGTCTTCTTCCCAAAGTCCACTCTAGTCTCCACTCCTCACGACGCCGGCCTGCTTTCCCCCACGCAAATTTCAACCTCAAAGTTGGTGCCGGCATGGTCACATCTGAGAAGTTGCCATACATTCTTATCTTCGAGCGTGATATTTGTGTTTATTCGACAATTTCATCATGCGCGCCAAGCATTTCAGACCTCGACCATATTCTTGCATTGCATTCTTGCTGGTTCTGAAGTAGTGTCGATTTTTTCTTCGAGCAGAATATCTCACTGTCTCAGAGTTCGTTGCCTAAGGTTAGCTGGATTTAGGATCCTCGGTGAAATGTGAACAAATGATCAACCTCGTGGGAATGGCTGATTTTCTGGAGCGTCTGTCACGAACTTAGTTGGTATGAGCTTCCTTCCTGAGAAGAGTGGGAATCTTTCAGACACTCGTTCAGTACGCAAGCAATCAGCGGCTTAATCTGGATTCTTCTGGAGCTTCGCAGTTGATTCTGTGGGACGTTGGAGCTCGTCTGCTTTACGGCATCATCCGAAATGTCTCAGGTGAACACCTAGCCATGGTCGTCAACCTAGTCTCCTCCTTTTTTCTTTCTGTTCATTTCAGATACTGAGTCCTAGTTTACCTTTTCGCCTCGTGAATTCAGTCGTTGAATTAGAGTCAATTGGGTACGTGATTCTAAGGCAGCTCTTAAATTCATCAGAAATCCGTCAGCAGTTTCATAATCTGAAGTTAAAACTTGGAGAGCGTGTCCAATTCGTGAGCATTGTTATGAAGCCTGTAATTGCAGCGATTCCGGAGTGCTCATTTCACGCCAGATTCGTGAATAGAACTCACTGTACTACTAAGACACAAGTACATGCACTGCAGATTCATGATCGAAGTGAGGGACCCTAGTAGTCACGAGCACCGCGTGAGCATCAATGAGGGGTTTTCAAGTCAAATTAAGTTGCTCCATAAAACATTGTTTATCAGTCCAAGTAAATAATAATTTTACTGGAGGACAAACGCTAGCGCTCCTTGTGGTCTAATGCTTCTAGCGCATACATCATGCACTACCACTGAACAACAAGGTAAACTTGTGCAGACCGTGGTGATGAATGTGGCGATGGTCTGTGAAGGGTGTGCAATAAGTGTGAAGAAGACTCTCAAGAAGATTCCAGGTACTGAATTCTATCCTCCCGAGCTCAAATCATCAACACATGTAATCCAACCTGTTGGGGTATCTCCACAGTAAAGAGAGGCACATCAACGTTCAGTTTCCCATCAGATTCTATTAATCACCAAAACCTCACAATTAAGTGACTGAACAGCCTGTTTCCTGGTGTGGGGTGCACTTCAGAAACTCAATCACGACCTTGTTATGAATAATTGCAGGTGTCACTTCCTACGCAGTAAACTTCAAAGAGAAAAAAGCAACAGTGGTTGGAAACGTGGACCCAGAGGATGTGGTGCGTCGCGTGAGCAAGTCTGGAAAGGCAGCGACTTTGGTGTCGGCCACTCCCACCCCACCGCCACCCGACCCACCCAAGGAGGACGCTAAGCCTGAAGCACCACCTGCAAAGAAGAAAGAGGGAAAGGGTGCCTTCGTTTCTCTTCGCCAGAAAATGCCGAACCTGCGGCCAAAGATGCCTGACGTGAAGCTTCCGAAGTCTGTGGCCATTGCGATGGCGAAGATGCCAGACTGCCGGAATTTGCCCAAGACGTTGCCAGATTGCCGCAACATGCCGAGGATGTTCAACCAAGCCATGGATAATTTCAGGGCAAAAGGGGTGTTTTTCGCCGCAGACAACATGACCGACTCAGATTAGTCCCTTGACGTAGTCAGAATAAGAGACTTTGTTCAATGACTTTGTGAAGAGATCGACAACGGAATAAATCCAAACGAGATCTCAGCAGTTTTGAACATTATGCAGCAATTTTAGTTCAGCTTGCAAAAAAACACATTAAGTAAAATACTCGAAGTGTAAAAAACATTTAAGAACCCAGGGCTAATGCTCTGATCGCATTTTCGTTTCTTAGGTCATGAAAGCGTTTAGTTGGACATGAATAGAGTGCACACTTTCTCTTGTAAGTATCTCCAAGCTGAAATAACAAGGCATTTCGGTGATTACTGCTGGTTCTGAAAACCTATTCGAAGTACCCAGTTTATCTTCTCTTCAGCGTTTGGCTTCGAATCTTTTCCTTGTCTTGTGCGCGTCATCGTGATTCATTAAGCCCTTCATCATCGGCTTGAATTTCACTGCCTCTTCAGTTTCACTAGAATTCTTACCACCATCCGAGGATACATTTTCCATGAGAGGATCTTCTCAAGCTGAAACATGATTTTGGCATGATTTTGAGCAGGATGTTGCACTGATGCTTGTTCACGACTTGCTATTTAAATCAGGGGCTCACAGATATCTTCATGGGATATGCCTGACTTTGGCACACCCAATGAACTCATCAAGCTCCAATGCTCATTGCTCAGACTCGTAATCCAATAGCTAAACTTGTAGGTTGTTTTAATAACAATAGTATGGTTTTATGTAGAAGTAGAGAATGTTTAATGAAAAGACAGGCAAAGATTGAAGGTGTCTAATCCTGAAATGTTTTGAAGGAAATGCAAAATAAAATACAAAATAAAAATACTTTATGAAATACAAAATAAAGATATTTGTAAAAAATTTAAACAAGTATTTTTTTTTTTTTTTTTTTTTTTTTTTTTTGTGTGTGTGTGTTAGATTTTTACTAAGTTCTAGTTGTCACACCATGAATTACAAACTTTTTTATTATAATTGTCGAAATTTCAATTCTTCTAGTAGCTATTATGAAATAATTTTTGTTTGCCATATGATACTTCATCTATAAGTTTTAAGACTCTTCTTTCTCCTATATATATATATATATATACATATATATATGTATATTTTGTACAAACAATAAATATAGATCTAATTAGATATTTAATCAAAATACTTATAATTATTTATTTTATGGCATAATAATTTAATTCTAAAATTCTTATTTCTATACATTACGTCACAAAGTGATTCTAATTATTGAAGTATTTTGTATGAATGTGATATATAAAATTCTTTATAAACATATATACATTTGATTATCTTCATGAACAAGAAAGCATTTTTGTCTTCAATTTTTTATATTTATTTTTTTTTAACAATCAAACTTTTTCAATTATATAAACTAAAACTATTGATATATCTTTTAATATATCCTATGGTAAAAAATAAAGCAAAACATATTCTTTGCATTAATGCACATAACTACTAATACACTCAATAATATTGTATTATTAATTATCTCACATATGCATATTGATGCTAATAAATATAATTATTTGATTACCATAGATATATATATATATATATATATATATATTAATAAAAATTAAATCCATAAAATAAGCTCTTATAGTATTCATATGGTAAATAGACAGAAAAAAATTATAGATCATGTTTACAACTTAATAATTAAGATTTTTTCTATACTTGGAATATTTATTTGTATTATTGATAAAGATTATAAAATATATGCATTAAGTTGATTATATCTAATATAAATGACTTCTTTTATAGTTATGTGACATCACAATATAATTTAGAATGAGAAATCAATAGACAAGACAAAACATCTTTCTAATCTATATTATAGTTTAAAAAAATCATTTATAGATAAATAAGAGAGTCATATTTACACCATAATTATATAATTAAAAAATAATTGAGCAAAGAAATTCATTAACTTAAGCAAATCTATATCTATGCTTCAATAGCTATATTCAATTTGTCTAAACAAGGTATAATCTATGCTAATAGTAGCTAATATAACAAATAGTTGTATTCCCTAGTATATTTATTTGAATAAGTAGAATTAGATAGAAGCAAGTAAAAGCAAGTTAAATTGTTTATATATATTATTATTAAAAAAAATAGAAGATTTATAGATTTTATATAATTTTGTGTTGTAGTACAACTATAAGTTAATATATATATATATATATATATATATATATACTTTAGACAAACATGGATAAAATGTAGGGAGGTTTATATACAATGTGTTAATATTTTATATTTGTAAAAAACTTCTATTTACTTTGTAAGGCCATAAATAAGACAAAATAAAGTAGATTAAAAAATAAATAAAATTTTAGAATCTTTAGAAGGAAGTTAAGAGTAGATTTTAGCAAAAACTACCTTAAAATGCTATTAATTAATACCCAAAGAGGACTAATTATGAATCAAAATAGAAACTAGACTTTAAGACACAAAATTGGACACCTACTACAATTATGGGGTTTTTTTATTAATTAGAAAGTAAGTTTGAGAAAAAACTCTAGAATATATATTTTAGAGTTAATTTTGGGTGATTTGGACTAATATTGAATTGTTAAGGGCTTTTTAAAATCAAAGGTGTTTTAAGAGATTTGGATTTTTGAGAAATAAAAAAGAATTTACATACATGAAAAATTTGTAAGCATTGCAACAAATTGAAGGATACAAATTTGTAGATTTATAAATTTGCTTGTCTTAAAAATATTTTTTGAGTTTAAGATCAATCAAATGCTTGGATTGAAGGTTATTGAAATTAAATTAGATTAGTATCTTAGAATTTGGATTTTAAAGGTTAGTGAGGGTTTCTTTGATCTTTTGCAATCTGCTAGTTTTATTGAAAAAAGGTTTGTAAGCTAATAGTTAACTTTATTTGAAAAAAAATTATAAAATATGAGAGTTATTGCACAATGCAATAAGGAGGTATAATTATTAGTAGATTAATATCAAGAAAAGAAAAATAAGAGAGCTAATATCCAAGCAAATAAGAAACTTTTTTTTCTCAATTGATAAGTTGGATTCTTATTAAATTTTTTATGCTTGATACTAAACTTTGAAGAAGTAAAATTAAAAATTTTATTTATAGTTATTGAGGTTTTAAAATTTCTATAAAATTTTATTAAGATTGATTAGGATTTGCTTCAGATTTACTTATAGTTTGATTATGATATCTTTGAATTTTAATAGAATTTTTTAGGATTTTAATTTATTAAGAATCAGGTTTTTTTAAAATCTCATTAGAATTATTGGAATTTATTTAAGAATTCTTTAATATTTTTTTATAAATTTTAGGATTTATTCTTATGATTTGTTTAAGATTTTATTATGATTTCTTTATAAATTCTTTATGATTTTTTCAAATTTTTATTAATATAATTTTAAAAAAAAATTATATTATTTATAAATTATTTAATAATTATTTAAAGATTTTTTAAAGATTCTTTAAGATTTTATTAAGATTTGATTGAAATTATTAAGGTTCAATTAAGATTTATTTAAGATTTTATTAGAATTTTTAGGTTCTTTATTTGTTGTAAAATACAAATTATTTTCTATAGCTAGGAACTCAATGCATATTAAGACAAGAAAACTTATAATACAATAATGTCTTTACAAGTGATTGGTAGATTTTCAACTTGGTCAATAAGTTGGAAAAAGATGATACATAAATCAATAAAATCTGTATCAAAGAAAGAGTGATAAAATAAAAATAAAAAAGTATGTTTATTAAAAGAAACTGGAAAGGCTTATTGTCAAAAGACAAGAAAACTTGAGACTCTTGAAACTAAACTAGAAGCAAGAAAGGAATTCTCAGAGTGAAGAGGGCTTCACTCTTATCTCTATATATACTATCTAACTAAGGGCTACGTAGCAATGTTCTATAGGACCTTCAATGTGTGTTGACTTTGTAGGACACATGCCCTGATTTAAAAGGTAAGTTTTTCTATGTATGGACCACATAGATAGCTTGGTCTTCAAGCTAACAACATGTATGGTACATGGCCAACTTGTTGCCCACGTTTTTAACTCAAAAAGTCAATTAAAGACACCTATAAAGTCAAAGCAACATCTATAAAGCTTCTAGGAAGTTTTCATAGAAGATATTATAGAATTAACTTACTTTTACCTACTTCTATTTACTTCTATCTATTTATACAGGTAATTACTAGCTCACATGCGTATGTCCATGACATTACCTCCTCTTCTAGGGACGAGTTCTACGAAGAGCGGTCATCATATGTTGAAGAAATGTATGATGCGATAAATTATATTTGTCACATATTCAGATCTTTGTTCTCTTCGAAAATGGTTGATAAGGCCTTTCAACCATCAATAGTATTCCATACCAGGGCGGGAAGACCACCCTATTATTTGATCGTTGTTGAGGCCTTCATAACTTCCTTCAAATAAAATATTCGGAACACCATCAGGAGTTGGTCCTAACTCTAATAAAATTACCAAACATTGAGAGTCTTTTCTAAGGTCGTGATATCAAATGCGTTGTATCTTGCCATCTATTTGAGGAAAAACATGTTGTTCTTGAGGATCTTCATCTCAATTGTGTTGACTTGAAGGTTGTGACAATCACAATGTCTCATCCGGTAGGTCAGCAAATCAAGGCTCTTCAGTCGAATGTGTTGGTTGTTGGTTCTCCATCTTTTCAGCGTCACAACCACAAAGAAGTTACAAACAAGGATTGAAAGTAAAATTTTCTCTTGCCTAGATCTTGTTTCTTTTATAGGGAAGGTTTTCAGCTTGATTTTGATGGATGTCGTCAATGATAAGTCTCCACCTCCTTTGCTGCATTTATAAGATTCTTTATTGATTTTCATGTGCATTCACTAATATCATATCCGTGCTAATAGATAAGATATTCCAATTCATTTTGGTATCGCCTTAAATCTAGGACTTCTTCTATTTTGAACTCTTTATTATTATCCACTTTTATATAAGGAAGTGGAGCTTGTCTTCTTTTTGGTATGTCTATTGTCTTATATGGTTCAAGAAGAGACACATGGAAAAGTGGATGGATTTTTATTGACTCCAATAGATATAAACGATATGCATCTAGATTGATTTGTGTAGAAATAGGAAATGGTCCAAGTTTACGATCGTTCAACTTGTCACAAAGACGAGTGGACTTGATATTGCGATGAAGTAACTATACCTTGTCACCCACGTGGAATGGTGG